GTATAATTCTAATGTGGAAAAAACAGCTTAATTTTAGGGCTATCTTGTTGAGATGTGGCGTATGGAGACATATACAGGTAACAGAAAAAGTGAATGGAGTGAATCAAAGTTTCTGTGTATAAATGATCATTTACAGTCTGTCAGTTGTAAAAAAAAAAAAATGTGATTTTGAAATGTTGGAAGCTTTTTTAAAATCTGACACTTAAAGGTTTGGTTCTACATTCCTTAGCATGATACACAAAGTTTGCCATTTTTTTATTTTAGCTAACTCATCATTTGCTTGTATTGAACACTTAAGTCCTTTTTCAAATCTTGAGATTTAGCAATAGCTTGTTTTATCACGACTGTTCTTTCATGCAGCTTGTCTCTTCTTCTACTATAAATAATTAACAACCTCTTAGGCGGGAGGACTTGACAAAAAAAAAACATTCTAAATGCATTCCTTATGTTGTCTTATCTTAAAGATTTTTACAAAGAAATTGAAATCGATTACTCCACTTATCTGCAAGATGAAGCTTTGCAAACTCAGAGACCAACCATGGGCACGCATTTGTGATCAGTGCATCTTCAGGGTTCAGGGTTCTCACAACAAACCATTAGAGTGATTTTACATCACCTAACAGAGAACTGCAGCAGCCGAGTTCACTATAATTACACAAGAGTACTTTATCTCTGAATAAATTATCAAGGAAAGCCTACGGGAGAATTCGCACATAGTGCCTTTTATTCAATTAAGACGAACATACGGTAAATGGCTGGATTATTAATACCATAAACACATATTTGTGATCCCAGCTCTAAAACAACCGGACTCTCAGTAAATGTCTTTTTATCTGGCCGTCTTTCTTGAAATTCTTAAAGCATTCAGCTGTTTCTAAAATGCACAGAGGAACAGAGAAATTATAACTTGATGATTTATGGATTTTACAACTCTAAAAATAAGGTTATTTGTATTCAGGATCATGTGGGCTTACATTCAGCCTGATGCAGGAAAATGCATCTCCACATGAATGGAAAAATTAGTTTTTAATGCATTCCCTTTTTATGAAGTGGTGGATCCATCTGTTTGATTCAGGAATATGACCCTCATGAATACGGCCTATTCTTGTAAGATATATCTAAGATCTCATTCAGCTACATTTTAAACAGATTTTCAATTCAGTGAAGAGAGACATAATTAAATTTCTGGCTTATTTGGCTGAGAAATGATAATTGTCCAGCCAAATCAATAAAACGGTCCCCTTTCATTGGAATTTCTCTGAAACCAAGGTTCGGCCACGACGTCCGCTGAAGGGGGAAGGGATGAGAGTCATGGGTGATGGGAATGAAGCACAGGTTTATATTAAAACATTTTGCTTTAAAGCAGCACGGCCCATCAATCTCTAATGTATTGATATCACCAGGGAAAAAAAAGGTCATTTCAAAACATCTAGTCTACCTTCATGTATTTGTATAGAAGAGAATAATAATAATAATAATAATAAAAAAATCCTTATCATATTTACTGATTGTGTTTCCATTTCCCTTTTTGGCGTGGGAGTATATTGCAATAGGAAAAGAAATGAAGGGAGATTGTTTCTTACCGAGTGCCTTGTCAACACAGGTGATTTTACTGGGAGGGCAAATATCTGCAGTTCCTGGAAAGAGAAGAGCGGAATATGAGTTTGATCAATCAGAGCTAAAATATTCAGTGACCCGTGTCGGCTGCAATGAGAGAGCATGTCTGCGAACAACACTCCTCTGCAGCTTATCATTCGCCTCCAAATGAAGGCAGGCGCACCGAGGATGACTTCCATCCACACATCAGGGCCTCGTCTTGGACGTCCGTCCTTGATTGCACAGAGAAATGGAGCATGCTGGCTCCACCCGCGAGGCATATTTAGACAGTCTTTAAAAACCAATCAACGAGGCACTTCTTTGCAGACAAACACACATTTCCCAGGCCATTAATGACAGGTATTCATCAGCGAGACAATTAATTTTGCAGATATATGTTTGTCTGTCTGTGGGCTGTTAAAATGTTTGTGTCTTTTGCTCTAAAAACAGAACCCCCATGCTCCGAATTCTAACTTTATTTTAGATCATTTTTTTGCATTTCCAGGTGTACTTTAGAGATGTAGCAAAAAGCCATTCTCTGTCCGCTGTCCACACATCAAGAACAAGAACAACTTAATAGCTTCTTTTCGGGCAGGTCACCCAAATATAGACACAGACTCAGACGCTGAAATATTGATTTAAGACCTTAGAAATCTCTAAAAAAGAACAATTTATGCTCTTGCTGTTCAAGAGTCCAAATGTTCATTAATTAATGGGTGTGTTTCAAATGACTATTTTAGACAAATTTGTGAGGTTTTTGATAAAAAACCCCTCCAAACATCTCACATACAGATGAACAAATCTACAGCCCTGCTCACCATTATTGGCACCCCTGAAGTTTAAGTACATATGATGGAATATTTCCTAAAGAACAGACATAAAAAAAGAATGATTGGTCTTCGCAAAAGAGAACCTGGACAAACCTCAAGCCTACTGGCACAACATTTTATGGACAGATGAAACAAAAGTAAAGCTTTTTGGTAAGTCACACCAACAGTTTACAGACGGCGCAATGAAGCCTTTAAAGAAAAGAACTACAACATTCAAGCATGGTGGAGGATGCATAATGCTGTGCCGCTGTTTGCGGCATCTGGTACTGGAGTCCTTGACCGTATCACAGGCATCATGAAATCAGAAGATTATCAAGAAATTCTAGAGCGAAATGTCTTGCCCAGTGTAAGAAAACTTGGTTTGAGGCAAAGATCCTGGGTCTTCCAGCAAGATAATGACCCAAAGCACGCAGGCATGGTTGAAAGGGAAAGAAATGGACTGTTTTAAAATGGCCAGCAATGAGTCTTGATCTCAATCCAATTGAAAATCTTTGGGTCCAGCTGAAATCTGCCATTGGAGAAAGGAACCCTGCAAATGTACAAGAGCTCGAGCAGATTACAAAAGAAGATTGGGAGAAAATACCACCCGAGAAGTGCAAGAAGCTTATAGAAGAATATAGGAAATGTTTGCTGCTAACCAAATATTGCAACCAAATATTAGGGAGGTGTGTCAATATTAGTGCACATGCTGGTTTGAGGTTTTGTCTTTTGGAATTAAAATATTTGTGTTGAAATGGTAACTGTCTTTCTTAAATTATTTTGGACCATAAATTGAAGGATCTTGCTGATATAACTTTTTAACATTTATATTCACTCAGCTATAAAAAACATGAAGGGTTGCCAATAATGGTGAGCAGGACTGTATGTGCAGGTTTGCCTGTGGACCTCTTTGTGTAGTGTAGTGAATATTTATTTAATATGCGTCATGAATTTAATTTCAGTACCCTCTAATTTCATACTACTGAGTAAAATCCAGCAGTACATCATTAAATACACATTTCACCTGAATAAAAGAGTAGAGAAAAACATATATTGCTAAAGTAAAGCAATTAGAATCTCATTTTAAAGGTTTACATCAGTCTGTAAGGGGAGAAAGCTGAGGTGAACTTTTTACCCACAGAGACACAAGCTTTATATGCCGGAAGGCTTTTTAAGCTTTATTATTCTTTATTTTCACTGAAAGGAAATTAAAAATCATGTATACCTTCCCTTCCCCTTCCCAATTAGACTACGATTTGCTGCGGTCCATTGCATAAAATTCCCCCAATGGACAAACTGTGGTTTATGGTGTGGGAAAATATGAATATATATGCTCTAGAAAAGTTGTTGATGTTTTTAAATATGTTTATAAGGTATATTATTACCAGATTCTTATAAATTATATGGTTTATTACTATTTATCCAATCCAATCCAATCCACTTTACTTATATAGCACATTTCAATAAACACAAGGTTTCCAAAGTGCTGCACAAAAAGATAAAATAACTACAATAAGTAAAAAATAAAAGTAAATAAAATAAAATAATAAAAGCACTGCCCGCACAGGATAAAAATATGCATGTGTATACATAAAATCAACACTCTACATGGTGTCAAAAGCCAAAGAAAAGAAAAGATGCATATTCTTATGATCTTTAGACCAGTAAAATATCTTTAAAATCCTGAATGCAGTGTTAAACAACAATAGATAGCACTGGTAAAGGTAGAAATTAAACCGATATTAAAATGTTTAATCAAAAATATAAGCTGGAGGAAAATAAACAGTCCCTAACGTTCGCCCTGAGCCTCACAGTGATCAGGGAGAGCAAACTGCAGCACTAAGAGAGAAAACTTGTGGAGGGAGACAGAGTTTCAATTATTTAAGGCACAATGTGTGGTCACATCACTGCAGTAAAGAAAAAAAAATATTTGCCCTCACTGTCCCATGGAAACAGCTGCTTTATATAACCTGGCGGGGTCATTTCTGTTAATGTTAAACAATAACTGATAATTATAAGAATGAAACTATTTTATATGGAAAAGCCTGGAAAAAATTATTTACATCATTGTTAATTAAAACACATTCAATACCCCAACCACAGCCATGAGGGATTTAGGTTCCGTTACCAGAAGCTAGTCTAAAATTATCCACAACATTTTTCAGCACACATATAGTCACGACTTCTGCTTTAAAATCTGACACCTGACACGAAAGATATACTTTAGGAGTGTTTTGGGTTTGGAGAAATAAAAATAGGTAAATTGAACTTAGACAGTATAGAGGGGGATTTTCAAGGATTTTTGAAAAGACCCGCCCTCCCCACTCCAGAAAAATGCACATGCACAACCCTGTACCCGCGCCTGAGAGGGAAAACCTATTATTCGAGTGCGAGAGCATGCAGGAGCCCATTTCTCCTCATGCATGCTCTGTTTTAAAGTTGCTGTTTGCTCATATAGGTTACTTTGCAACAGAAGGTTTTGTAATTTTTCCACCATGTCAGACTCACCACAGGTAAGTGAAAATGGGGACGTGCAGGTAAACATATCACTACAATGATTCACAATTAGGAGGACCACTTATTTTAATGAACCACCCGGAAAACATCCGGAGAACATCCTCCACTATACCTTAGTGGTCGGAAAATTTAGATTTCTCTTGTCTCATATATTTAGTTATGCTATTTATCCAGTGAAAAATGTTTTTACTCAGTTTGTTTCACCTGCAAGGCTGAGAAAATCTCTGAGTGAGGGGTGGTTTTACACAATACATACTTATTCCCACGACAAGGCAAATTGTTTCTCAAGGTTTGTTAAAGTGTGTGTAATTTGTTTTGACTCTGACACAACCTGCACAGTTTTTTCATCAACATAAGTAAGGGAGACAAACTGTCAGGTCAGAACAGGGTTGATTACTCTGCCATAAGAATCCGTATGATGAACTGTTCTCTCTTTGCAAAGATATGAAAATAAAGTGCAGACTGAGTGAAACCCATCGATCTCCGTTTATTTAACTGAGGTAAATAGTTGAATAGTTTTTCCCCATTACAACCTTTCAATTAAATTTTGCCTATATGGCCTTGAGTTTAAACCAATAGGCTTAAATTTCTAGATATATACTCCTATTTTAAAGGTAAAAGGCAGAACATTTTTTAAAGTAAAACAAAAAAGTGAGTACAATAGCTACATCCTATATCCATGTCTGCTTCAAAACTATAAACTTCAGGCTAAGCATCTTACTTTAAGCTAGATTCTGTCCTTTTTAGGACCGACCACTTTCAGTGGACTTTTTTTGTGTCCTGATATGGTGACAAAACATACTTTCCTTCTTTCTGGGGGCTGTCTTAAGACTCTCAGCTGATGTTGTAATCTATCGGCTGATTTTGTGGCACCACTGAGGCCTTGAATGTCTGCAAATCACTCCTCTTCCAGCAACTTCTCTTTTACATCACAATTCCCACCATTTCTAAAGCTTTTCTCCCAGGCTAGCCCACATGAATCAGTCCTGTCCCTCCCTGTGGGGCTGTTCATTATCTATCCGAATGTATGGCCCTCTGGGGTACTTTTAAGAAACAGTTAATGTATAATAATGCCATCTCTAAGACTATAAGGATCTCTTCCTACTTGTCAGCCAATCATTGTTTAAAAAAGCATAGATTGGGAGGCCTACTGTCTTGAGCTAAAAGTAAAATTGCAAGTGTGACAGAAAACAAACACTGTGTTTGAGCTGATGGAAAGATAAAGTGCACTCCTGTTACAGTAGATGCTGAAAGGCTTGTTTCTGGAGAGAAGGGTCATCTTTCAGCAGGGCAGCTTTGGTTTAGATCAGAGCATATCCAGGTGTTAAAAAATTGCAGGCAAACTCTAGCCTTAAAAACAATCAAGAATCTGAGACAACATATGTAACCTGATGTTTATGGCTGTTCTCCATCCAATCAGAGACTCAGGTTATGGAGGAAAATCAGCAACAAAAATCTGTTTCTGGACTTACAAAGCTTGCAGAGACATTGCTTTAACGATTTACAGCTCTAATTCCAGCACACAGGGCTAAATGTATGCACAAAATAATTTTATTTGTGAAAAATCTTCAAATTATTAATTATGTGTTATTTTCTGTTGGGAAAGTCTCAGTTTATGTTGGATAATAACAAAAGAAAAAGAGAAAAGGATTAAGGAGTTTCCTAAACCGCTGCATGTCAACGTGTTTTCCCTCCTAAACCTTTCCTTTCCACTT